TGACTTAAATAAAAGATTTGGATGAATATTGAGTGATATGTGCTCATCGTCGAACCTTGGACTTATTGAATAATATTGAATAATACAGCAGGTCAGAACCTTGGATGAATATTGAATAATATGTGCTCTATGTTGTTGGGTTTTTGGTTGCAATTTGTGCTCGTCATTGAGCTCCCGTGGATGTTTTCATTTAATAGGCTGATTCGAGCTTGTTTAGCTCTATGTTGTTGGGTTTTTTTGTTGCAATTTATGCTCGTCGTTGAGCTCCCGTGGATGTTTTCATTTAATAGGCTGATTCGAGCTTGTTTAGCTCTATGTTGTTGGGTTTTTGGTTGCAATTTGTGCTCGTCGTCGAGCTCCCATGGATGTTTTTTGTTAATAGGCTGATTCGAGCTTGTTTATCTCTATGTTGTTGGGTTTTTTGGTTGCTATTTAAGCTCGTCGTCGAGCTCCCGTGGATGTTTTCATTTAATAGGCTGATTCGAGCTTGTTTAGCTCTATGTTGTTGAGTTTTTTGTTGCAATTTGTGCTCGTCGTTGAGCTCCCGTGGATGTTTTTTGTTAATAGGCTGATTCGAGCTTGTTTAACTCTATGTTGTTGGGTTTTTTGGTTGCTATTTAAGCTCGTCGTCGAGCTCCTGTGGCTGTTTTTATGTTAATAGGTTGATTCGAGCTTGTTTAGCTCTATGTTGTTGGGTTTTTGGTTGCAATTTGTGCTTGTCGTCGAGCTCCCGTGGATTTTTTTGTTAATTGGCTGATTCAAGCTTTTTTAGCTCTATGTTGTTGGGTTTTTTGGTTGCTATTTGTGCTTGTTGTCGAGCTCCCATGGCTGTTTTTATGTTAATAGGCTGATTCGAGCTTGTTTAGCTCTATGTTGTTGGTTTTTTTGTTGCAATTTGTGCTCGTCGTCGAGCTCCCGTGAATGTTTTTTTTAGTAGACCGATTCAAGCTTGTTTAGCTCTATGTTGTTGGGTTTTTTGGTTGCAATTTGTGCTCGTCGTCGAGCTCTCGTGGATGTATTTAAGTTAATAGGCTGATTCGAGCTTGTTTAGCTCTATGTTGTTGGGTTTTTGGTTGCAATTTGTGCTCATCGTCGAGCTCTCGTGGATGTTTTTTGTTAATAGGTTGATTCGAGCTTGTTTGGCTTTATGTTGTTGGGTTTTTTGGTTGTTATTTAAGCTCGTCGTCGAGCTCTCGTGGATGTTTTCATTTAATAGGCTGATTCGAGATTGTTAGCTCTATGTTGTTAGGTTTTTGGTTGCAATTTATGCTCATCGTCGAGCTCCCGTGGATGTTTTTTGTTAATAGGCTGATTCGAGCTTGTTTAGCTCTATGTTTTTGAGTTTTTTGGTTGCTATTTAAGCTCGTCGTCGAGCTCCCGTGGATGTTTTCATTTAATAGGCTGATTCGAGCTTGTTTAGCTCTATGTTGTTGGGTTTTTGGTTGCAATTTGTGCTCGTCGTCGAGCTCCCATGGATTTTTTTGTTAATTGGCTGATTCAAGCTTTTTTAGCTCTATGTTGTTGGGTTTTTTGGTTGCTATTTGTGCTTGTTGTCGAGCTCCCATGGCTGTTTTTATGTTAATAGGCTGATTCGAGCTTGTTTAGCTCTATGTTGTTGGGTTTTTGGTTGCAATTTGTGCTCGTCGTCGAGCTCCCATGGATATTTTTTGTTAATAGGCTGATTCGAGCTTGTTTAGCTCTATGTTGTTGGGTTTTTGGTTGCTATTTATGCTCATCGTCGAGCTCCCATGGTTGTATTTATGTTAATAGGCTGATTCGAGCTTGTTTAGCTCTATGTTGTTGGGTTTAGCTCTATGTTTTTATTTGTGCTCTATATTATTAGGTATGTACTACATAAATTTATGAATAATCAGGTTACCATATGTCTCATTTATTTATTTCTTGGAAAATAGGTTTCGTGTGATTTTTTCAATCTTAAACGGGTATATTTCAAGTCAAATCAGGTACGCAGTTCATAGCAATTGATTCATGTTATTTCAGGTTTGGTATGATTTTATTAATACAAACATAAATTTATAATTCATTCGAGATATTATTATTTGTTCATGTTACATTCGAATTTTTCTATGATTAAAATTACCTCATATAACGAGCAGAAATAAATTTGTATATAGTGGGGGTAATCTTACCATGATGACCATAAACACTTTTCAAAACCAACCAAACACAAGAAAAGTGGGAAATGTTAAATCAACAAAAGTTTTTCTTTTTTTTCCATGCGAACCAAACATAAGAAAAGTAAATACATTGGTTTCTCACCATTTTTTATGTGCGAACCAAACTAAAACAATCTATTTCTTGGAAAAGTTTGGAAAACTCAAAACTTTAGTTTCTTTACATGGAATTGCATTTCCCTATATCTAGGAAACGAACCAAACAATCCCTAAATGTAAACGACATTATACTTTTTCCTAAGGGGTTGTTTGGTTTGTTTCCTAGATATAGGAAAATACAATTCCATGTAAAGAAACACAAGTTTTGAGTTTTCCAAACTTTTGTAAGAAATAGATTGATTTGGTTTGGTTCGCACATAAAAATGGTGGGAAACCAATGTATTTACTTTTCTTGTGTTTGGTTTGCATGAAAAAAAAAACTTTTGTTGATTTGACATTTTCCACTTTTTTTCTGTTTGGTTGGTTTTGAAGTTTGTCATTAAGATTACCCCCACTATATACAAATTTATTTGTGCTCATTATATGAGGTAATCTTAGTCATAGAAAAGTTTGAATATAACATGAACAAATAATAATATCCCGAATGAATTATAAATTTCTGTTTGTATTAATGAAATCATACGAAACCTGAACTAACATGAATCAATTGCTATGAACTGCGTACCTGATTTGACTTTAAAGATACCTGTTTGAGAACCAACATGTGCACACAAAAACCTAGCACAAAATACCCAGCAAAACAACATTGTTTGAGAACCAACATGTGCACACAAAAACCTAGCACAAAATACCCAGCAAAACAACATATAGAACCAACATGTGCACACAAAAATGTGCACACAAAAACCTAGCACAAAATACCCAGCAAAACAACATATAGAACCAACATGTGCACACAAAAACCGAGCACAAAATACCCAGCAACCAACATATGGAACCAACATGTAGAACCAACAAATGCCCACAAATGTTGTATGATAATATAGAGCACAAATAGCAACATAGAGCTAAACCCAACAACATAGAGCTAAACAAGCTCGAATCAGCCTATTAACATAAAAACAGCCACGGGAGCTCAACGACGAGCACAAATTGTAACAAAAAACCCAACAAAATAGAGCTAAACAAGCTCGAACCAGCCTATTACAAAAAAAATCCACGGGAGCTCGACGACGAGCACAAATTGCAATAAAAACCCACAACAACATAGAGTACATATTATTCAATATTCATCCAAGATTCTGACCTGTTGTATTATTCAATATTATTCAATAAATCCAAGGTTCGACGACGAGCACATATTATTCAATATACATCCAAGGTTATATAATTACTTTCCAGGCGAGAAGACAAATAGTTGAAATAAATCCTTGTGCATATTAGAGATGCTTTAAACGCATAACTCAAATTAAATCATCTGAAAATTTGTAAGCATAAATAGTCTAGGGATGCATCCAATGAAACTGATGCCCTGATGCCTACCTTGAAGATCATGGGAAATCCATTTTGCACCAATTCAAGATGAAATGGAACTTGCAGGAAATACGACATGCAAACTATTATGAGATGCATCTTCCTTTTTAAGATGAAACTTTTTACTTTTTTAGTTAATTGAGCTATTGATCAGAAATACAATAACAAATATTGGATGAATCTAGACAAATTTAGCGAAGTTTCTTCAGTTAAGATACAAAAACTGCGTCTCTTGGTTATCCATTCTGTCCTCCAACAAATCATCTTTCCTATTTCAAATCTATCATTTAGATATAGAAACTTGGGGAAAACATAAAACCATCCAATCACACTCATACAACACATATAACCACAACACAAGTACCTGCATGCAAACACACGCCTTGCACTTTTGAGAAGTCATAAGCTATAATTGTTGACCTAGGCTCGTAAAGCTGCCACAGTTACTCTGGTTTATACCAGAATTGCCAAAATCCTTGGAGGTAAATGGAATATCCATTAAAGCTGTGACACCTATTTTCCACAAAAAATCTCTAGAATGAGTTTACCTAAATTCATGACCGTCTCAAACTAATCCTTATGTTGACAGGATTATCCACTTAGACTGTGTAATAAAAACACCTCTAGGCACTACCACAAAATAGATATATGGGGACGGTTATTTGGGGACGGTTCAAAACCGTCCCCTTTGCCTCCTAAGGGAACGGTTGTGTGACGGTTACAATCGTCACGAAAAAGTCTAAGGCAACAGTCCAAAATAAAGTGTTGGCCTTGAATTAGACTTAAAAAAAAATTAGTAGGCTAAAGGGACGGTTTTGTAAAGGACTCGCGCCCAAACTTTTTTAACAAAATTTATTTTCTCTCAGAACCGCCTGACCCGATAACTAAAAATTTTCTTCACCCGATAGTTAGGGTTTCTCATCTTCCTCTCCTCTCGTCAAATCCTCTCCTCGCGTCGACTACCCCGTGCGCCGTCCGCCACTCATCTCCTCTCGACGACTCCCCCGTTCGCCGCTCTCTTTTTTCTCTCGTCGACGCCTCCGTTCGCCGCCGGCCACCTTCACTTCGTCAGTTCGCCGCGCCTCCGCCGTTAGCTGCGCCTCTCGTCGCTATCCCCTCTCTATCATCTTGTGATTTGGGGTATATCTCTCTCCTTTTCAGTCATGGGTTTCAATTTTTTTTCCTTTTTCTCTATTTAATGAAAATTTTATTTGATTTTACAAATTAGGGCTTTGTTGTTTTGGTTGATCATTGAAGGTGGTTAAAAATTCTACAGCCTTACTGGACAAGGTTATTGTTGTTTTGGTTGATCATTGAAGGTGGTTAAAAATTCTACAGCCTTACTGGACAAGGTTATTCCGCAAAATTGAATTGGTATATGTTTTTAATTTTTGTTTAAGATAATTTATTTTTTCTATTTTTTCTGTTTATGCTCTTCACTGTAGCCTTCGGTTGATTTACATACTAGAGTTTATCACTAACAGAACAAACATATGGTGACATACTGCATGGTAGCAATAAAAATTTGTCACGGGGTTGTTCAAGAGTGTTTCTGTAATTCAGTAAGTGATTTAAGACTCTTCCGAAGACAAACTAAGATTAATCTGAACCTCTGAGACATTGTAAGGTAATGGGGGAAAAATTATAATACAATAAAAGAAAGTAAGGAATGGAGATGAGTACCGTATCTTTTCCTCCACTTCTCAAAGTATGCGAACACTGTCGGACCTCTGAGACATTATAATTTTCCCCCCATTACCTTACAATGTCTCAGAGGTTCAGATTAATCTTAGTTTGTCATGTGTTATTGTTTCTCTTGCCTTTTCCTGCATTACTAGTCTCTCCATCTCTATTAAATTACCATGAGGAAATGATGGAATCAGTTGTGATGAACAGGCATGTATCTTTTCGTGGTTCTATTGGGGATTAAAGACCCTTTGCACTTTACTTCTGACCTATTGAGCCCTTACCTCTTTGTTCTTACTTCTATTCTTTTGTGTTTTTTCAGGATGCTATTTTTCGGGTTGTGGCTGGTATTCTTCATTTAGGCAATATTGAATTTTCTGAGGGAAAGGAAACAGATTCATCAACACCTAAGGACGAAAAATCCTATTTTCATCTGCGAACAGCAGCTGAACTTTTTATGTGACTACTTTTTCTTCAAAAGACCGTATTTTTGTGATGTCACTGTGGATTTGATGGTATCTTAAACATGCTCTCTGCAGGTGTGATGAAAAGGCCCTCGAAGATTCTTTATGTAAGCGTATAATTGTCACTCGCTATGAGAACATAACAAAATGTCTTGATCCAGATACTACAGCTCTCAGTAGAGATGCCTTGGCAAAAATTGTTTACTCACAGTTATTTGATTGGTAAGGCACAATAAAGTTGTTGGTTTAGCTTCTTGAAGAATTTTGTGCATTATGCATCTTGTATTGACATAATCGCTATGTATTGTTCTGTTGCCTGACTATTTTTTTCTGGTTGCAGTCTTGCAGGCTCATGAACAAGATAAATAATTCAATAGGGCAAGATCCTAATTCGAAGGTTTTGATCGGGATGTTGGATATTTATGGTTTTGAACTTTCACTTGCAATTTATATATATGCTCTCTGCAGCTTCCTTAAAGAAAAACCAGTGGCTGCTCCTACTGCTTCTGTTGAACTCTTTTTCTGTTTCTAACTTGTGTTCTTTCCTGCTCTGAGTAGATAGTAAATGGGTTGCTGCAAAGATAAGATTGGGATATTGCAATCAAGGTGCCCCTTGGAATACTTCCAGCACATACATTGCCATATTTCCCAACATGTAATCTTCAACCATATTATACACTATTAGATGCAGTAAGGTGTTGCAGAAAGTTGTGCCAACATAGCATAATAGTTCGGTCTTCTAAATAATGACAATGTTTCGAATTTGAAAATGGGCTGAAATTGGGAGAAAACCAGTGAATACTCAACTTCTGCAAAATTCCATTAATCATGACATCACCACCCCTAACTTGCACCATGTTTACACTTTACATTCCACATGCACTAAGGTTCTCCCTTGATTCATTCTTAGTTAAAGCTATCTTAGCTTCTTGCATACGCACTAAACTTTTACCTCCTAGTTAACAAATTTCCTCTTACCCATTTCAAGTGTTCTTTTTAGCTACAATTATTTGCTGATAGTGTCATGCCTCTTTTTCTCTTCCTTTTCAGGCTTCTATCATATTACCCAGTTGTTTGACTAAACTGTGATACCTTACACATTGTGGTTTTGTTTTTTTCTCCAATTAATCTTCCTATATTTAGAAAGTGAAGAAAAAAGATATTGGTAAAGGAATTCTCAATAATCCTTCTTACTCAAATATTATTTTTCTATTACTCTTCATTTTGAGTTTCCACTTCTACAAGAAAATAACTTGATAGAAAAAAAGTAATTTTTCATATTTTAACAAAGGATAAATATATATATGTGAAAAGAAACTCTTGTGTGAAAAGAAACTCTTGTATCAATTTATCGAATATAGTACATACCATATGATATTTCATCTTTTGAAATGACTGCATGGGAAGTAAGAAGGATTACTTATGATTCCTTAATAACCCATAGACATGTCTGCTGGCCTGCAAATCACAGGATGGTCAGCTCATGATTCTGCTGTAAGCTCTGTACTATTTGGACTGGATGAGACTAGTATCTTCAGTTTGGGCTCTGATGGGAAGGTATGCTAGTGGCTTCATGAATTGCAAAACACCCTTTGTTTGAAGCGGATCAAATTAACATCTCTGCCTAGCCTATTCTCTCTGAAAGTGTGAATATTCATTTTTGCCAATTTTCACTTCTGAAACATATATGCAGCCATTGCGAGTAGGATAAAGTTTATTCCTTGACTTGATACGCCCATAACATCTCTGCTTGTTTCCTCTGAAATTCTGATCTTTCATTTATGCCAATTATCACTTCTCAAAGCTTAAGTTTGTGCCAACTAAAGCCTTGCTCCATGGTAAAGGTAAGGTGTGAGATTAGATAATGGGAGCAACCTTTGTTCAATAGAAAGAGGAAAAAAGAAGGCTTGTCATTATCTTCACAAAGAGTATTTTCTGTAAATGACTTGATAATTTCTATGTTGTAAATGACTTGATAACTTTATACATTTACTTTGAAGGGTTTAATACTTGTGCTTACTCATCTTTTTATCTTGATGTACGCAGGAAAACATCTGAAGATCCATGTTTGTCGCTCTTTAGGGGATTTATCTGTTGTGAAGATTTAGAACTTAATCGTCCCAATAGAGACATTTTGACCTTTTGATTAAGTAGAAGCTCTTTGTTTTAATCATGGAGGATTTGTGATATGTGCTTAATTTGGTAAGTTTGTGTGTAAAACTTGTGAAGAATTATCTCAATCCTATTGCTATAATATTGTTCTTCGTTGTAATGAATTGTTCATTATATTAAGGCTAAAGTTTGGTTAGTTTGTGTGTAAAACTTCGACTATTGTTTCTTTGTATGTGATGGACTGATGTGTGATATCTGGGTGATTTATTTTGATCAGTATAAAATGAAAACCGTCCCCTTTGGTATAAAAATCATCCGCATAGATCACAAACAAAACCGTTCCCATAGACAATATAACTGTCCTCTTAGGTCAAGCTCGAAACCGTCCCCCTTGGTATAAAAACTGTCCCCATGGAAACCGTTCCTCTTGCTATCAAATTGTTCCCATTGCTTAGAACCTAAAAACCGTTCCCCTTGCTATCAAACCGTTCCCGTTGCTTAGAACCTAAAAACCGTTCCCCTTGATATACAACCGTTCCACTTGCTCTAAACCAAGAACCGACCCCTTAGCACAACCGTTCCCTTATGGTACTATTGGGGACGGTTTACAAATCGTTGCACTAGGAGCATAAACCGTCCTATTAGACCTACGGGCACGGCTGCAAACGAGACGGATGTAGAACCGTCCCCATAGGCTTAGTGTGACGGTTTCCATGCCTAGGGTGACGGTTCACAACCGTCCCCATAGGCCTCAAATGTGGTAGTGAGGGATAACACATTGACAGCCTCACAAAAATTATAAAACATTTACCCAGTTCAAAGAAAGTTTAAAAAATTACAAACATATATCATGATTATAATATTTAATTATATGAGTTCAAATCATATTCTCATTTATGATGTAGAATGTTCTAGAAAAAAGAAAAGAAAGAATAGAAAAGGGGGAAAATCTCTTGTAAAATTACAAATTTACCATTCTAATTACAATAGAAAGAAGAAAATGCCCTTCATTCCTCAAAACTTTTTACGACGCTAGCTAAGTTCATTATATATTATTACTAGTATATTGGCACATACAAATGCACGTGCAAACAATATTAAACTTCTATCTAAAATAGTTCTCAGTCCTGCACATGTTAATTATGTTATAATCATTTAATGTGTATTTATAAAATTTGTAGTAAAAATGCATGGGCTTAATGCACATGATCAAAATAATAAGAATTTATTAAGAACTATCTTTTATGCATCTAAAAAATTATTATTATATTTTTTATATTTAAAATAAAAATTGAAATTGCCTTTAAAATTTTATAATAGTTTATTGATCATCATTTATGATAAGGCACTACATAGCTTACATTGTGTTGCATTTTGATTTTTTTTAAATTATATATATAATTTTTAAAAACGTCATGCATGAAATTTTGAATTTGAGAAGGGGATGGAGAATTGAAAGTAATGGAAACTTCTAGAAAGAGAAGAATGAAATTTAAATTTAAAATCGAAAAGCAGAAATTAAAATTTAAAAGATGAAACCGCATCAATAGGATATTGATAAATGACCAAATTGCCCTCATCCTTTATTAAGTGGATCTCTATCCTTCGACAAATTGAAGGAATAAGCACTCATTCCTCAACTTTAATAAGATATTGAGAGAGAACCAAATTGCCCTCATCCTCTACTAAATGGACCTCTATTCTTTGACTTTTGTCTACCCTCATAATATTTTTTATATAGTAGTATAGAGATAGGGTGGCACTAGGGACACACCCCCCAACCACAATCTCAACCACACCCCCTCTCTCATTTGCTATATAGTACACCGGGCCTCACATGAGATTTTAAAATTTTAAAATCCCATGTGGGGCCCGATATATTGTAACAAATGAGAGAAGGGGTATGGTTGAGGTTGTGATTAGATGTGTGCCCCTATCATTTTCCATAAAGATATTCACATGCATGCAAATACATCTGGATATACAAATATATATATTTTCCTAGAACCACCTGCATATGAGCAGGCCACACGCACGCGTGGCTCAGACAAACCGCTCCCATGTGGTTGTTAGTAGGAGATGCGAACTTCGGACATATATGCCATGCCATTAACCTTCTCCTTTATCTATGAACCCGCGGTCACATCCTATCCACAGTGGACAACCTCGATAAGCTACAGAATAGCGGATAGACCAATGAGCTTTTAATTAGAGCCAATCCCCACGATGTTTCTTTGAATATTGTTGACGGTTTCCAATCAGAAAAAGAAGATAAATATCTTTATTATATATGGAGAACGATCGCCGGCCCCCGTTTGTGTTCGGACAACGCGACAGTTTATGTTTTCGCAGGCAGCCATCAGCCCATCACGGTAGTACGTACGGCGTCATTAATTCTCAACAGCGGTTACTATGATGAAAACGCTTCCGTTATGGCCATGACGGCAGTCGTCATCGTGCCATTTTGCTCGTTGGCAGCTGTATGAAAGCTCGACTGAAATTGACAGGTAGACTTTTGGCATATAATGCACAGGCTGGCTGGCTGGCTTTGGACGATAATCAGATGACTACCGGCCCGTAACTCTCAAAATATCAAAGAAAGAAAAAGAAAAAAAAACCCCTTGGGTGTTTGGTTAAACGAAGGCGACTCGAATGTGTGAAATGTTGGGGAATTTCAGTCTCCCCGCCTACCACGATATGCGTAACTCGGAAGCCAACCCCAATCAATAAGATAGAACAACCACAATCAAGAATAAGAACACTGAGATTTACGTGGTTCGGTCGACCAACTTCGACCTACTTCCACGGGGCAACAATACGAGAAATTCATTATGTATCAGGGAGAACTACAAGAGAAACCACTCAACTCTCGTCTCTCAATCTCTCAACCTTACATACATAATTAACTCTCATATTCTCTCCAAAGCTCACTCCTTATAATCTTTTGCACGGATAAAGACTATGAAACTCTCTCTCTCTCTCTCTCTCTCTCTCTCTCTCTCTCTCTCTCTCTCATCTACTACATCTCTACTTTTTTCTTCATGTTTTTTCCTTCACCAATAGAAGAATATATACAGGGAAACCCTATCTCTAGCCTAACTTCCTAATTAGAATAGGATTCAAACTCCTAATCATGATAAAACTCAAACTCCTAATCATGATAGAACTCTAACCCTATCTAATTCTCATGAAGTTACACAAATAATCAAAGACAAAATCCCAACAATCTCCACCTTGGATTTGATTCCCAAACTCCCTTGAAGATATACTATCGTCGTCTTGAAACTTTGCCTCTCTCGCTACAATCTTCTATTTCTTTCACACTTCAAATCAGAACACCTGCACTCCCAATTGGATGCCTTCATGATCCCCACTATCTTCTGCTTCGTCGTGACGCCTCCACCTCTCTCGTTGTCCTTGTGCTCCACCTGCATCGCTCGTCTCGAATCATATCGGTGCACCACTCGTACTCTACACTACGAGCTGGATGCCTTTCTCTCCTCCATCACTTGGCTTGGACTGAATATGAGCGCTCACCATCTTCAAGTCCAACGTCACCATCTTCATCTCCATGTGTGTCACTCGGTCGTGCCCACTTGCAAGCTCCACCTAATCTGACATTGTCCTCCTCAAGTATACACACCAATTAACTACTGTTCCTTATCTACCATCAGATTTGTCTTGCCGTTAAATAGCGGAATATCAAACTTCGGACCCGAAGAAGTCATCATTCTCTAATCAAAATTCAAATCAGTCACTGTAAAGTTTGAATTTGATAAAACCAATGCCAAAAACGAACTCAGCACGTCGAAAAACCCTAGGAACGACTCCTGGATCACCAAAATCCGCCTCCAAATCCTCAATCGGCTAACAAATCAATCTGGACCGTCGGATCCCCACGAAAACAGTGTTATGCTACAGTAACCTTTCTTTTTTTCATTTTTTTTCTCTTTCTGTTCATCTTGATTTTTGTAACGCCGATTTTCAATCTTGCACGGCGTCCTCTTCTATCTTGCAAACTCGCTCCCGGATCCATCAACATCGCTCTGATACCACTTGTTGGGGAATTTCAGTC